CTCCTCCCCCTCCACCCCCGCCCCCGAGTGCGCGTCCTTCCACTGCATCCGCTGCGCAGCATCCTCCTCCCCCTACAACCCCGCCCCCGAGTGCGCGTCCTTCCACTGCAGCCGCTGCGCAGCATCCCCCTCCACCTCCGCCTCTGCCTTCGAGTGGTCGTGCTCCCACAGGAGCCGATGCGCAGCATCCCCCTCCACCTCCGCCTCCGCCTTCAAGTGGTCGTGCTCCCACTGGAGCCGCTGCGCAGCATCCCCCTCTACCTACAGATCGTCCAGAACATGGCGAGTAGGGGACTCGCGACGTTGTTGACGAGCGAGACGACGAGGACGACGATGATAGAGAGGGGTACGAGGGCAGTAGTGAGGACGAGGATGATCCCGCGTATTCCCCGAGATGCGGACGTGGTGACGACGCCGACGCCGACGACGAGGGCGGCGATGGTACACAGGCTGCAGGTGGTTTGCGGAGGTCGGGTCGACATCGTGCCGACCGATGCAGTGGTGCAGGCAGGGGGGACAGTGGTGCAGGCATGGGTGTGGGGGGCGCAGAACACACAGGGGGTGCATGCCGTGGTGGCGGAGGACGGGCGAGGCGAGAGTCTGCATCCTCCACTCGTACTGTGCACTGGGTTGATGAGGGTGCCGCGACAGGAGAGGTTGGCACCGGGTCGGCTGAGTTTGCTGCTGCGTTGGCAGTGGCCGCTGCAGAGGCCGCTGGAGAGGCCGTTGGAGAGTTCGCAGCGGCGTCTGAGGAGGTCGCAGGGGGCTTTGCAGAGGTTGTTGGCGGGGCTGCGCAGGTTGGGAGGGCTTCAGCGCAGTTGGGTGTCAGTTTCAGTGGTATTCTTGATGTTTCGTTGGGGCCTCCTCCGACACCGGCAGGCGAGCGTGGCAGTGGTGACGCAGCGGCTACGCTGGTCGGTCAGATACTGCGGGATGTACCTTCATGCAGCATGGGTGACATCAGTAGCAGCATGTTGCAGGAGGCAGCAGCGGGGACACAGTGTTCGTCGGGGCAGGAGGAGTGTGCAGCAGGGGATGGTGGGGATTGTCGGCCTGAGCAGGAGCGAGCGCCAGAGTCGTAGCAGGACAGGATCGACCGCGAGGAGAGGGAGAGGGCGCATGACTTGGCTAACCGTTGTGAGCTGACACAGAGTATTGAGTCGAGGGCACGGGCAAAGCGGATGCGCGAGACGGGTGGTAGTGAGGGTCATCATGCGACGGACGATGCAGTGCTTGAGTGTGGAGGCGCGGGCGCCGGGGATGCAGGCGAGAGACCCGCGTCGACGGTTCAGGGTGTTTGTATATTGCCTATCGGTGGAGCCATGACGGCGGAGGAGTTGGAGCGGCAGCTACAAGAGGACCCATTGCAGGCAGATCGGCATGGACGGATGGACGAGGCGTCGAGGAGGTTCATGGCAGAGCGCCCAGCTTACGTGCCCTGCAGCCCGTCACTGCCATCGCCAACCACTGGTGCCACTACCTCCGTACATGCTCAGGTTCCAGTCACGGGACGAACTACATCACCGACACCTGCAGAGTTTCCTCCCAAATCACGGAAGAAGAAGATGAGAGTAGGTAAGAGTCTCAGTACTGTGAGGAGGGTGACGCATGCGATGCGGGAGACTCAGCCCGGGCTGGCCGGTTTACATTCGCGGACTCGGGAGGCATTGGCCCTGGACATTGTCACGGAGACAGTAGGTTGGCGGGAGAGGGGCTCCAGCCGGTCGACGGAGCAGCCCATCACAGCGCCTGCTGAGGCGGAGATGCCATGTACTGGGGGCGGACAGCAGGTAGGGGGGAGGAGGCGGAGCACGGCGGCCCCCCCGGGAGGACCATGGCCGGACGTATATTAGGGGAGGATGCGAGGACGGTGCCTGCGCAGCGACCGTCACAGGCAGGAGTCGTTTTGGAGTCCGGTACCGATGATTTGGAGATGCCTCGTGGCCAGCGGAGGAGGGCTTCCGTGTACGACCTTCTTCGAGCACAGCACAGGGTTGACACGGCGCCACAGGGGGGGGTTCATGCTCCGGATACTACGCACGGGCCAGTAGGCGGCACAGGTGGCGGCGACGGTGTCAGAGGTGCTATGCCGCAGCGGAGGAGGAAGGACATTGTGGACGACGATGATGTTTAGTCCCACCATCAGTCCTCTTTCATCCTATATTTCTTAGTAGTGTATAATATACTTAGTGCTTCGGATGACGTGATGTGTTCATAGGTGTAGTGTTTATTAGATTTGTATTTGTACAAATGGTTAGACTACTGCACAATTGTCCATATACAGGTGCAGTAGGTGCAGATTGTTGTTTCTTTTTCGTTTGATTTTTGCATCGATGTTTCAGAGGATTGCACTATATATTCAGACATGGGCGCAGCATCTGCAGCGCTTGCATTTTTTTGTTTTCCTTCTACTTTGTTATCGATGTTTCAGACGATTGCACATTGTATTCGCACATTATTTGATTGAGTTCAATCTTCATGTTTCATTTATTGTTGTGTATGTATGGTGCAGTTGTTTCGTGT